GCGAAGAAGATAGAGTATGAGTACAGAGAGAGAGAAAGAACGGGGGGGGGGGGGAGTGGTAAAGACCCCTGGCAAAGGATAAGCACCGGGCAATACTTTTACAAGCAAAGAGAAGGGTCCACTTGGCCAGAGAAACTCCTAGGTATAACTGTTTTTCCTCCCAATTTCATAGCCCAAGGAGAAGATTGTGCCACTCAATCTTTGGAATTTGTTTGCCCTCAAGAAATTTCCCCAAGCCACCCATCCCATAAGTGATCTCTGCAAAGCGGTGAGTAAAATCAAAGGTGGGGGCAAGGATTGTGTTGGAGTGAAGTGTCTAAGTGTGTGTATAAAACTTTAATGCAACAATATGTTCTTTGCATGCAACCAGCTTCAGGCTTAATGTCTAGTCTCTGCAGTTAGATACACAGTAAAATCTTCTATCTAATTCAGCTTTTCTCAGCCAGGATCCCAAAGAAATGTTGAGATTGCAAACTTCCGGAACATCTAGCTATCATGGCCAAAGGAATTCCGGGAGTTGCCAACATTTTGAGCTTTTCAGCTGAGTTGGGGAAAGCTGATTCTGTTCATTCTCTTGACTAGAGGTTAGGTGGATCTCCCCAAAATTCTCCCCATGGCCACCTACAGTTTGAATCTGTCCTGGCTTTAACCACTGAATTTAGTTACTGAATTAACCCATTTTCTGGAAGGGTCCAGACTTGCAAACGGTCCAAGTGAGTCTTGCTGATACAGTACACAAAACAATCCAAGTTAAAACTCACTAAAGTTAGTGTGTTGTAGAAATATAGCCAGTAGGTCTTCAACAGACCTGGTTAAGTGTTTTGCCTGAACTTAAGTCATTAAAAAAAAAAAACCCTTCTTAACTGCCCACTCAACCAAGGAATAATAACTAGGGAGCAAGTGAACATCCTTTTGCTGGATATGTTCAGACGCTGAATAGTATACAGTTGTGGGTGTTTTACATCTCATTGCATTACGCAAGCAGGACTTGGTCTCACTTGCTGAACTGGTCCCTGCTAACCCTGGTTCTACAGTTGCACATAGAAGCCTTGCATGGATGGGTTCATACAATACGCTGAGCCCAAAGTATAAATCAGCAGATGTAGCAATATTCTCTGCTTTTTAATATTAATATATTAATCGAGTAAATTATGGCGAGTCTAGACTTTCAATAGTTGATACCCAAAGCTGAGGAGGAATGTAAGAGACCCAGGGCATTCAACCTGGAGATATTAAATATTTTTTTTAAAAGCAAGTATAATCATTTAAATGTTTTTTTAAAAAAATTGCAGACTTGTATTGCAATTCATCAATTCCAAATCTTCTTTATGGTCTCTTATTCTGTAATTTGACTCTTTAATTTTGGCATTGGAAGAGCAAACCAAGACAGAATACAATAAATGTTTGCTTGAAAAGAAAATCTCTTCCTTATTTGGATTAAAGAAGGGAAAAAAACCTGCCTTGGGCGAGGGGGAGTGTTCTCAAATGCGCTTGTCCGAACGCCAAACTGGATTAGAAGCTCCTTTTGATCACCCTCCCCCAGATACTACAATTTCCATACTTCCCAGCCCAGGTGACAGCAGAATGGCAGGGCTCCTTTAGAATATAACCTTCTACCTTAGCAGAACATGAGATATGATGCCTCAGCCCAATTCCATGTCCTGGAGTTGGTCAAACTGGAATTGAAATGTTGTTCCCAGCCACAGGAGAGGCTCCCCCTGAAAGCTGCCTGGGAGGCACAGAGGAAACCGCCTGACCCATGTAGAAGGTCTCTGAGCCTCTGGCCCCGGTCACCCCAGGCAGGCTGCCCCCCACCCCGCCTCCCACTGATGGGAGGGCTGGTCCTGATAGGAGCAGTTTGGCCCTGGAAAATCTTAGTTAATAAAGCAACAAGAGCCTGTTCATCAAATCCAGAGTTGGAAGGTGCTGGTGGACTGAATGGTCTGAGCCTCTGCTTGATGACAGAAATCTGGAGAGGGGTGGTTTACATTGTGCTTTTAAAAATATTGTCTAATTATTTTAGATATATATAATTTATATTTGTGTGTGTGTATGTGTATAATGTTCATTAACTCTCTCTCTCTCCCTCTCTTTCTCTCTATTAGATAAGAATCTTCACTATTTCATTAGTTTTCATAACTGAATATCATATGCATGTACGTGTGTACAAATCTATATCTACATATAGATAAAAGATTATCTATCTATCTATCTATCTATCTATCTATCTATCTATCTATC